AAAAAAAGAGATGCATTATTTGAAACAAATTGGTTATTCTAAAATTGAATTCAAAGTCAACCTTATACATTGTGTATGAACTATACTAGCTTTTTTACTTTCCAGCTGCTAGATTATAAGCATGTTATTTAAACTCAGAGATTTGAGTCTGTGACCAATGAAATGGGACCAATGTGACCAGGCCAATCCTCCTGACATAGAGTGATGATCAATCATATGAGATCTGTGACCACGAGGAAGCACAGTGGAAATGCTGTGTGTTAATTATTGACAAGCCCTCCAGGTTTTCCCTGTGAAACAGGGACCATCCCCCACCCAGAAGTGAGTAAATCTGAACCACAGGACATGACAGTCATTCAGGGCGGTGTGCTGTGGAAAGAGTTCAGATTTGGAAGTCAGACATAGTCCATTTAGACATTATTTAGGTGACGTAGTCTTCATGAGCCCACAAGTCACTTACTTGGTCATTCTGAACATCAGTTAGCTTTTCATTCATGAGAGCAAATGATCATGCTATATTTAAGCCTGTCAAGTGTCAATCCTGATACTTATCTACCTATTTACTTATGAAGTTGAAATTTCATAAGCAAAGTACATTTAGAACATACTCTGCTGTCTGGGCAGGCTACTTGGGATGAAAGTCAACCAGTTACAGAAGGAATCTTTAACAATGCTAAAATGCTTGAATCACATGCATTCTTAAAACGCTAATTGAATATAACTATATTTTATTTACATATGTAAATATCTATATTTTTCACAGCAAATTTCTAGGATTTGTGTTTGACAAAAATTTAGTCCATTTTTGTTTTGTAACAGTTTCAACCTCCCCTTTCCTTTATGTTGGGTTTGTTTCTGTTCACTCAGAGTTCTTAAAATATTTGGTGTTAGGCACTACATTAGGTGCTGGGAATACAACAAAGAACAGAAAAGACAAAATCCCTATCCTAATGGTGCTTATAGTCATCCACTAATGAAACTCACTCCAATAGAATGGAAAGTTCTGACCTGTGTTAAGAGCTCAGCGGGAATTCTGCACTTGGCTGTGAGAACTTTCCCACATCCCACCTTACATCTCCATCCACTCTTGTCCCTAGCTTGTCACACTTTAATGCCGCCTCCAGTCTTATAGTGTTTCCAGGTACTATAATCCCCACCACCGAAAACTAGATTCTCCCATGTGACCACATCCTTCCTAATCGATAGGTGCCCACCCCTGTCTGGGACCACCTGTATCTTGGCCCATCTGCCGTGCTGTCCATGACATTTTCTCATTTTCCCCATGGACTGCTCTAGCAAAGCTGTGATAACTGCCTCTTGGTCTCACTCCTCTGTTCAGACATCCAGCCTAGGGTCCACCTTGATGAACTTCTTAGGAGGGGGCCGAAATTTTCTGCACTGTCCTTTGGCATACTAATCCAGATTGGGTTACT